CCTAATGCTTGCAGTATAAGGTGAGAGCTCACTAAATGTTATTTGTCCAGGTTTTCTTCTCTGTCCTTTGGGGGGGCATTCTTGTGTTTGTATTACATGTATTTAGGACAACATTTCTCATGAAGCTTTCAGCTTTCTAATGGGGCATTTTGAAGCTCAGGGACTTCCCACTGTCAGGAACCTGAGCAATATAGATGGAAAATCAACAGAAATTACACTTGGGAAAAGACATTTGCTGTAGCAGCACAGTGACAAGGAGAGGCCAACAGCTACATTGGAAAAAATAATGGGTCTGGACCAGGGTATAAAGGTAATGTAATGTAAAAGTGGAGTATTCCAAATTCCAAATTCTAGATTGCAAATCTCTGTTTTTTTTAAAGCCTTGATTACAATTATATTTGCCCCTAGGGAGAGGGGCTTCCCAAAAACAGGGAGAATTTTGCTACCCTCAGAAATCTGGGGAAATGTCTTCATATTAAGACCCTAACTTTTTTCTAGATATGGGGATTGCCCAGGGAAGCCCTACTTGATTCACTTCATTTATGTGTACCATAAGAAGTGAATTCTTAAGATGGAATAAATCTATGCGAGGGGATGATACATCAAGGAGGAAAGCAAATAATGAGTCTGGCTCCTTCTTTGTTCCTAAATGAGTCAACACCTGTGGTGCTCCACCTAGCAGATTAAAAGCCAAAGTGAACCTCTGCCTATGGGTTCAATTTCCATGATGACAAATGAACTTTGTCATGTCATATAGTCTTAGGTTGTACCCTGAATCCCAGTCAGCTTTTTAGCAAATTCACACCATCGGTCATAAGGGGATGGGGTGACTGGGTGTGCAAATTCATAACTATTGCTGATGAAGAACTCAACATGTTAGCCATACGAATGGTGGGTCGATAGATACATCTTTGTAGAAAGAGGACAATGTACACCATTTGTGGCATCAGTTTGTGGGGAACTGGCAGGATCACAGGATCAGGAGCTGGAAGAGACCTTGAAGGTCATCTGACTTGACCCTTTCCTTTTGCAGATGAGAAAACTGATGATGAGAGATATGAAGTGACTTGCCCAAGGTCACTCAGATGAAATTGGTCTCCAAACTCAGTGTGACTTCAGGGGTGTGGGTAGGTGATCCTTAAAGTTACTACCTTGGTAAACAATCATGAACATTACCCTTAAGACGGGAGAAGGCAAGATGATGAGAAGGTCTATGCCATACCACATGCCTGAGATAGAAGTTCTAAAGTGGGACCAGCAGTTTTCATGTCCCTTGATCTCCTGGGGCCTCAGTTTTCCAAGGGGGTTGAACTAGATGGCCTTAGAAGTCCCTTCCAGGTCTAGACCTCTGATGTTAAGATACTGCTGCCTTCTTGGACATAGAAGCAATTTCTTTTGAAGTCATTTCAGTCTGTGTCTCAATTAAATTACCTGGACAGCCTGGACAATCTGGACTTTCACAAAGTCTTTCCAGACATATAGAGACCTCAGATTCCCTGCCATCCTGGTACTAGATGCCTATTGACCCTACTCTCCTACAGAGGAAGAATTTGTATTTAGGTCCCTTAAAAAAGATGAACCCTGGGTGATACTTTGCCTGTGTCCTGCTTATGTTCTTTCTTTTTGAACACCTGCTCTCTGTAAGGTTCTAGGCTTCTTCAGTTTCACTCCACTAAATTTGGTGTTCTCGTGGGCTGAGAAATTGCTGAGCTTGAAACCTGGATTCTACCCCCTTACTTTCTCATTTAATGTGCATCTTACTGTGTTGACCTTGAGCAAGTTAATTTACCTCTGTAAATAGTTTTCTCACCTGTAAAATGGAGTTATACAAACTGATGTTTAAAGTCCCTTCAGGCTCTAATGATCTGTGCTGTGCATTCCTGGTGTTTTCCCTGTGAAGCAAGAGGATTTCTGTCTGGTTCTGTGACTGCCTGGCCACAGCAGTGCAGGCAACAAGGAATGCAACTCCTTTTTCTGACTTGATTCTCTTCCTGCTGCCCTCATGGCCCCAAGCCAGCAGACACCTGCAAATTCCTTTTGCTAACATCTATTACTCTTCAAAGAAACTAAACTCTTATTTCTTTCCCAAGTTGAATGCTTAAGGCCAGCTGCCTGCTTCTCTATTAGTAGACAATTCACCTTTTAAGAAGGAAGAGAAAATCCTGTTTATTTATGTTCATTTATATCTTCTGATCAAACTCACATAAGATAAATTAAAGGGTTTTTTTTTCCTGCTCAGAGAAATATTTAAGTAACATAGGTATCGGCACTGGTTTCATTAAACTGTGTTGGGGAGAGGGGTTATTAACTTGCTGAGTTTCTGGGATGTGGACCATAAGATCATAAATTTAGAGCTGGACAGGGACCTTATAGACCATCTGTCTAGATGTCTATATGAGGTCCAACTCATCCATTTTACATAGGAGAAAACTGAGGTACAGAGAAGTTAAGTGATTTGTCCATGATCATACAGGTAATAAATGAGAGGTGGAATTAGAACACAGGGTCCCTGATTCCAAATCCAGTGTTTTTTTTTTCCACCAGATCCTGCTGACCTTTATATATTGCCCCTGATCTGCATTGTTACAGACCCACACCTAAATTCATAAAACTCCTGGTGATGCTTTTCCATATAAATACATACATGCCTATATATATGCATAAAAATGCATGTGTGTGTGTGTGTGTGTGTGTGTGTATGTGTGTGTATTTCAGGGTAGTTTTATGGGCCCTCTGGGTCATTATATTGACCTCTAGGCATATATATATGTATATGTATATGTATATATACATACATACATACATACATACATATGAAGGGGGAGAGAGAGAGAGAGAGAGAGAGAAATAGGCAGCTAAGTAGCATAGAATGTTGGATTTGGGGTCAGGAATATCTGAGTTTAAATCCAGCCTCAGATACTTACTAGCTGTGTGATCAAAGGCAAGTCAACTTAAACTCTCTCACGGCCTCAGTTTCTTCATCTGTCATAATGGCAATACTAATAGCCCCTATGTTACATGGCTATTGTGAGGATCAAATGGAGTCACATGTAAAGTGTTTTGCAAACTTTAAATTGCTATACAAATGATATCTATTATTATATACATACATATTTGTCCATGTGCATGTATTTATGTATATATAAATGGGTATTGGATAATTAAGTCTTCTAATGTCCCTTACAGTTGAACATCTACGATCCTAGGATCCTATGTGAGGGTGTTACTATGGGCCCTTTCCCTGAAGGGCAGGGGAAGGGGCAATTGTTTTACTTGCATCACTTGGCACACTTAGGCACGTACTCTATGCGTGAATTTGGTCTTGACCCAGTTTCAGCTCATTTGGAAAGCATCAACAAGGGCTTCATCTTTCTTAGTTTGATGGTCAGTTCTGTCTAGTGACTTTTGTTCTATCTCACTTTTGAATGTCTGTGTAGTCACATAATCCTAGAAGGACATGTGACCAGACAGACAGCTAGGTACCATAGTGGACAGAGTGTTGGACTTGGAGTCAGGAATACTTGACTCATTCAAACCCTGCTTGTGTGATGCTGGACAAGCCACTTAATCTCTTTTGGTCTCAGTTTCCTCATTGGTAAAATGGGGATATTACTATCTATCTCATAGGGTTGTTGTTGAGATTGAATGAGTGCTTTGGGAACTTTACAGCATGATATAAATGCTGGTTATTATAAGGGGGGCCCTCTGAGCTAGGAGGTGAGGCCTGGCAAGTTTCTGGGGTCTGGCAAAAGCCTTATGATGGACCCAAAGTAGCCTCTTCCTTCCAATTTTCCATCATAATCTTGAGGAGCAGATGGAGGTCTCGAGGCTCCCATCCCAAAACAGAGGATGTGATTTTAGTCACCTGAGTGACCTATGAGGGTTCTCTGGGTTTTCTTAAGAAAGGGCACATTGTCCTCAGGGTGCATACACTCCAAGATTATACAGCTCCTACACACAGGTCAGGAAAATGCCCCAAATACCAACTTACCAGGTAGATTTTCCCCGAGGAAAAGGGCAAAAGGTATAGATTGTGTCAGAGGTCACCTGACAAAAATACCTGACTCTTTTTGGGGGGATGGGTGGGTGGGAAGGAGTGTTTGTACTTACCTGCCAAATTTATAAAAGGAGCCAGAGGGAAGTAGTGTTTGGAACTGATTTCCAATTCTTCATACAAAATACTTTGGTAGATAATGGCCCTATGTGCTGATAAAACCCCAAATAATAAGAATTCTTCTCCCAGGGATATACATACTAACTTTCCTAGAAAATTCAGGCCAATTTGGAATTTGTTAACTTAATAATTGTTTTTTAAAAATCCCACTATCCCTTACATGTAGCTAGCCATCCCCTTCCTCAGGCCTTTCTCACTTTGGGTAACTGAATAATTTTTTAAAATCCCATTTATTTATTTAAATCTTAGTTTAAAAAAAAACCAGATCTGAAAGTCTGTGTCATCCTGGCTATTTTCAGTCCTAGACTTGGTTATATAAGTACATTTTCATTCCTTCTTTTCACTCACTTTCTTGCATTTCTTGTCTTAGTAGATTTTAATCTTTGTAGTCATACAGAAGAGAGGTCAATGCTTGTCCTTTGACAGATTCCATTGTCTGTTTCTGGCCAAATGACAGGCTAAACCATGGCTTCCTCAGGATGCCTCATTTCAATGAGCACAGACAGTGAGCTCTGAGCCTTGAACATTTCTTCAGATCAGCCTGTCACTGATTAGGTGATAATCAGGACACCATCTTTCTTTTCCCTGAGTCAGTGAATCCCTCTTCCTATTTTGATCTGCTTTTTTTTTTAAAAACACATTTCCTCTCTTTCAATAAACTGAGTTCATGGGCAGTCCCAATAACCAAGGGCATAGCTCTCCTTTTAGGATTGCCTTCTTGTCTGGGAGAGAAGACCTCAGTGAAAGTAATTTTGAATAATGGAGTTTCAAAGTACAATGGATGATGATTTAAAAAAAAAAAGGATGGAAAAACTGAATAGTGAAAGAAGAGGAAACAGAAATCTCTTAAAGATATCATCATCCCTTGTTTGTTTCCAGAAGATTATCTACTGAGGCACCATTTTCCCTCACTAACTTTAACTAGGGCAATATAGAGGGTTGATGTCTTTGTCTAAGAGGGGACTTAGGAATATATATATATTTTTCTTTTTGCCTCTATGTGTCCCTCACTGTCTTTGTCTCTTTTTGTTTCTGTGTCTTTCTGTCTCTGTTTTTGTATCTTCTGTCTCTGTCTCTCTGTCTCTGTCTTGCTCTCTGCTTTCTTCCCTCCCTCCCTCCTTCCCTGGAATATTCTATCATATAAAAATGTAAAATGCTATTCATTTATTCTACATTTTCCTTTTCATGGGACTTTTCACTTTCAAATTGGAGAACTACAAAGAACACTCTATTTTTTATTCAGAGCACTCTTTTTCTTGGTTTCATATGACCTATAAAGAAAGTGGGATCACAGTAGAACTTCAGGGCAAATGTCACTTCTAATCATGCTTTTCATGTGCATCTATCGCTAATCCCAGAACAAGATGGCTAAGTTGAAGGAGAAGTCAACAGTGGTGGACAGTTAAGTCTCTACTAACCTCATCTATGTATTTCTTGAGCATTTATGCAGTAACAGACCCAGAGATGCACCAAATATTATTAGTGGGAGGCATCTCATTAGCAAGGTTTCATTATCTCAGCTTTTCTAGATTCATTTCAAGGCATAGCACATCATAAGGTGAGAAACAAAAAGAAAGTATGAAGTAACATGTACCAGGTGAAAAGATCCCGTCGCCACTGCCTCCTGGCCAGCCGATAATTTCTCTCATTTTCCTTAATGTGACATATTCCAAAAGTACAAACACTGGAGCAATTTCATAGGTGAACCTGAAATGCAGTAATGTTCACATTTTATTTATATCACCCAAAGCAATAATTTAGTAGTTACAATATCTTTAGAATTGTTCCTGCTGTAAATGTCACATTCATATCACATTAAGGTTATAACACAGTCAGCTCAGAGGATTATGCCTATCAATAGGTCTCATTATTTTCCCTTGATCCCTGAAGTTAAAAGTAAAAATTAATGGTAAAATACACAAATGTGGTTGATCATAGAGAAGATAAAAAAGGAATTTTACAAAGTAACGTGATTCAAAGGATAGCATCTGCTCCCATTCTTTTTCATATTATACATATTTAAATATGCAAACTACAAAAATATTTTGCCTTTTGCATTTTCACACAGCTGTCTTTAGCTGTCTTTTATGGATATTACTAGATTGTTTTCTGTAATCCTACAAAAAGCCACGAACCACTCCTGAAACTCACACCAATACTGTAGATGCTGTTGAATTTTTTCTTTAAAATATTAAAAAATTTTTTTTCCCAAAACAGTTGGAGCAATGACTATCGCATCTCACTGGAAGTTAACCTGGATTACATAAGAGCAAATTTAGCTACTTACATATTAGTATTTGCTGTTGATGTTAGCCAGTCTGCCGCTAATCCAACCATATCCAATCCAGTAGAAAGCTGATTGAAATATCTAGGATGACCTATGTATAAATCAGAATACTTTGATTATGGTCTCATCTAGTAGAAATAAATAATTCTGGAACACAAAATTTACCTGTATAAAGAAGATTGGGGCAATCTTTTGGGCAGTAGGAAAATATTTCCTATATTCTACAAGAGTATTTGCTTTCAGGTTTGGTTTTCCTTGCTTTAAGATATCATTCCTCAATTCCAAAGCATGGTTGGGAATCAGAACACCATTTTGTTTCCCTGTTCTTCATTCAGTGTAGCTGAAAACCTAATGTATGGCGCCAATCCAAAGATGGACAACCTCTCACTTAAATGGCTTATGATGCAATTAAAATCTTTTGGGGGGGGACAGGGGAGATCTGTGATGCTTTCAAGAGGCAGACACTGAGAGGCCTGCCAAACACTGATGATAACATCAGTGATGAATGGCTAATGATGATAAAAGACCAGACAAAAATGGGAAAATGGGAAACTTTGCTAATTGCTTTGCCCACGATTCAAAGGCTGATGATAGTCTAAAAAATGGGGTAGATGGGTCTAATATTTGTCATTTCTTCCCTGTCAGAATAGATGATTGTAAATAGAAGAGCTCTCTCATAATTGTGATTTTAAATAAACCTGATTAAATTCAACATCATCGTCAAGTCAGAATGATGCTTGGGAATATATTTGATGGTCTGATTAATCCATTTACAAGGCTGATCTAATTGACTTCTGGGTTTCTCTAAAAATCCTCTCAGGGGTTTGACTTCAAATACCCCTGGGGATATTATTTGAAAAAATGAGATTTCCAGTGCCATGTTAGAATTCATTTATAGACTCTGCCCCACAGATGCTTGTCTCAGGCTCTCTGATTTTGTTAACAGCCAGAATTTTGAAAGATGAACAACTGAAGGCATACAATCTGATAAAAAGACATTTCCCACTTTCTGAACGTCTGTCTTAAACTAGGAATAGTGATAGCTCACAATCTTCATATGGGAAAGGCAAGATAAAGGATAGTTATGGGGAAAACAGGGGCAAAAATCAGCATGCTACTTATCTCCTGGATTGTAGTGGTCTCTTATCAGACCTAGGCACATTGCTAGAAAATTATGCATTAAAGGAAGATATAATACTCTGAATGAGCTTTTGAAAATGAATGGATCTCGGGCTTTGTGCTTCTTCCAGTATTGTATTAACTCTATGTGGCCTTGTTCAGAGCCTTTGTCTCCCATTACTCCCTTTCAGGCCTTCCAATGCCAACCTTTTCAGCTTTACCCATCCATATTGGGTGAGAGAACCTCCTTTCCTGCTCCTGGCTACTGCTTGGAACAGCTCTCCCGTTCTTCTCTGCTTCATTGACTCTGCATTCCATTTCAGCCCTTTGCCGAACACATAGCTTGCTTTTCTGTCCCAGTGCCATGTCATTTCCCTTCCCCATAGTTTTCTTTAAAATTATTAAGCTCAGCATTCCTATGCATCAGTCTACCTATATGTCTACAGAGTCACCTCTGGATTTCTTTGAGGTCCTATTACTGTGCCCTATTTAACCTTACTGAAACTTTACCATATTTGAAACTAATTGGGACCATGAGACATTTTACAGTGGTAGGGCAGGCCATCCTGATGGCTACCTTAGGCAAACTGGGAAGATCAGTTTGTTACTTGTATTGTTTGGCAACAAAAATATCCTCACTCTTCCATCTTTACATGCATTTCTCCCTCCTTGCTAAGTCTCTCAGTCAGTGTTAACTGATCTGCAGCTTTGGAGAGTCCAGAGGTTCTCTTGGCAGGCCAAGAGAAGCATTCCAACTAATTACATTTTCAATTTTTCTATCATTCCTCATGGGCTTGAAGTAGAGCCCATAGGATCCTAGCAAAGGATTCCACCCTCTTCCCACATTGCCCCTCCCATGAAGGGCTATTGGTGGGACCTGTCTCTGAACTTGCCCAGCTGTTTCCACAACCCTTTCCAACCAGCTGCTGCCACTGCTGCTATTCCATGCTCTCCTTCTGCTGAGAAGGACAGATGAGCAGCTCCCTAGGAAGCTAATGTTAAAGCATGCATTTAGCTGCTAGTGGGGAATATACAGCAGGGTGTAGAATAGGGATGTGACCAGCAGCTTCCACCTCTCCACAGCTTAGCAAAAGAACCCTGACAGGTTCGGCTAACCTGAAAGATAAGGAATGAATGTGTCCAACCTGTAAAGCTAAACAGGTAGGTAGGATGCAAAACTTCATTGTAAAACAGTTCTGTGTGTAAATGAACCTTCCCCATATCACCTCCATAGATTCAGGCTTATTAAAGACACCAATTTCTTGAGTTTTATTGCTGACTTAGCAGAGTCTAGTATGTATTTTTTTTAAGTGTCAAAGAAATGAAGAAGGTTGAATCCCACAATCTCCACTGTGATCATTTTTAAAACCTGCCTTTCTATTGTGTAAAGAAGTAGAAATTTCAACAGGAAACATGAAATTAATTTTTTAAAGCTGTTTCCACCTCCCCTTCAGCCTGAAGTGCATTACACAGCAAGTGATTATCAGGTTAAGATTGCCCAGGATAAAGGAATGTTAACATGTAAGCTTTTAATCCACAAAAGGATGGAAGGAAACTCAGTGGGGGTAGTAGCATAATAAACACTTTGACAGTGACTAAATAATCATAATAATCAAACAAGACAAGGGACAGTACAAAAAAATCTATCAGTTAAATAAGCAATTGGAATTTGTCTCTAATAAGCCACACATTTTAATAAAGTCAGAAGATGCAATGTTTCTACAAATCTTATTGAGATCTTCTCTGGACATTGACACTACTGGGCCAGAGAACTAGCCTGATTAATCCAATTTTTCATTTCAAGTTTAAACAAAAGACATTAAAGCTGTCGTTGATTAGTGTGTTTCCTCACACATTATGGGAAAAGAGAAGTATTGAATCGGCCGATTTCTTTCTGACATTAAATGGAACATTGATGGCCAGAAACTTAATTTCATTCATTTGCAATTTCCATTTTTTTGACTCTTAAAATTGAATTTCAAAAATCATTGGACTTTTACAAAATTGAAATGTAAAAATTTTCTTAAATTGTTTTTGATTCTGTGGCAATAAAAATAATAAGCAGTGATTTACCATTCTGGAAGCATTTAACAAGTACCACTTAAATTCCTTTAAGGACAACATGTTAGCAGGGAATGAAAAAATGGTTATGTTTCTATGTTCATGTCATGTTTAAAGTGTAACAACCATATTTTCGTTGCCTAGTATAGTGTCATGGCCCCATCTTGGCAACCCGACAGTATTAATTAATGATGATTCCAGTTCTAGATCTATCCTACAGTATAGCAATATTTTATATGGATCACAAAGAGCTGAACTCAGTTTCATTTCAGACAATGAGTCTGATAAAATTCATCTACTAAGTTTACTTTTCCCTTTGTGTAAAAGCCTTCACAGACCTAAAGCTACAGATATGTAAATATTGAAAATGCTCCTTTTAGTTCAAGGCTTTTAGCAGCTCTCATTAACCAACCCAACCCCCCCTCCCACAAAAAAAAACCTTCCATCAAGTCTTTGACTAGTTTGTATAGTAGAGACTCAGTAAATGGTTAGGGATGATGACAGTGGAGGTGGCCAAGGGCAAAATTGTCAATGCCAAATCACATTTCTATGCAAAAGCTATTCTACGTTTTCATTTTCTGATAAAAATAGTTTTGAAATTGCATATATATTTAAATATAAAAGTATGTTTATCTCCTTTTTGTTTCTTTTTTAAATATAGCACAATGCTTTTGGTTATTAAGTATTTGTTTACTTTTTATTATAATTCTTATTTTTAAAATTTAGCCTAAAGGGGTCCATGTGTCTTGGTGATTAACAGTTGAATGTATGAGATCTGAGGATAATCATGACCTGGATAGAAATAAACAGCTGACTTTACAGAAATAAAAATGAAATCTTGGAAGCATCTGCATAAATGTAATATTTCTGGCTATAAAATGCATGTGAATAACATTGGAGAGGGGAAGAGATCAGATTTTCCCTTTTTGCTTCATTTACCCAGTTGCATTCAAGAATATTCTCCCTCATTCAACACCATTGAATTGCTAAGTTTTCTCCGGGTGTTTAAAAATAGTAATTTAAACAATACCAGGAATCTGGAATGCAAATTTTAAATCTACAGTCACTTGATTAAGTGACAAAAAAAAATTACCTCACCAATACAGTGAGCAAACAGACTAGTGACAGTATGGGTGACTATGCCTACTAAGGAAATTGCTAGTGGGGCATAACTAGTATTCAGGACTTCGGTTCCAAAGATGTTTTTTCATCTTTTATTTATAAATAAATGTTTTCCGTTTCTTTCTCCATTTAAGTTTATTATGTTGGTATTTTCCAAAAAGAGATTGCTTTGGGAGGGGCAGTTAATTTGCATAGCAAAATGTGTCTAGTGTAAAAGGTAGCAATTTGCATGAATCAAGAATAACTAAGAATTTTGTAGAAATAGAGAAAAAAAAACATTTCTAATGTATGTATTATACCAGGTAAACTTTCATGGAAATATCATTGTAATGAAGGTGTAAATATTCCAGGTGAGAAAAAATCCCCCACAACCCAGCCTTCTAAAACAGACTCTTTCTTTTTACTGACATTAGTAAAAAGTGGCAGATGCTGTAAGTTTTCAGAAATATCAATAACTGTAAAATTGTATGATATAATTTTATTTAGATCAACTGATTCTTATGATTTTGTATGAAAATACAGAAAGAAACATTAGACATTTTTAATTTCTGCCCAGACAGTACCTGTTTTGATTGCATATTTTAGAGTTGTTCTGCAGTTAGACAAAATTTCCTCCAAGGTCTGTGGCTGATCTGCCAATTCCCAATTATGTTCTTGAAGAAGCTCGTTTGGGTAATGGAAATCAATCACCTTTGTTGATCTATCAAAACTCTTCACCACATACTGAAGCAAAATGTCCATTACATCTTGGAGAAAAGACAAAGTGGCCTCTTCTCCGTTACAAGCTGGCAACAGATCTGGGGGGACAAACCCATGTCAAGAAATTTAAAATGTCATACGCATCCATGTAAAAATCATGTTTGTACTCCTGCTCAGAAAACATTATGGCTTCATCTCTTCTGCAATCCAGAGTCAATCATATTTTGTTTGTATAAAAAGCAGATTTCCCTCTCAATTCCTATATTTATACACTAGCAGGAACCTTTGGAAATACTAAACATTTTCCTTTTGCATTTTCAGGAAGAAACTTATAATAATAAGAAATCCAATAGGCAAATTCTAATATTCATCTTTACAGACCATTGTGGTGGCTTATTTGGGAAGCCTTTGCCCTAGCTGGGCATTGGGCACGGATTTATTTTATTTTATTGCTACATTTTTGCGTTAAAGGACTCTCCTCTGTGTTTGGGGAGTTGTCTGACATGAAGGTAAAAATAGGCACAGTTGAATATGCAATGGGAAAATGCTACTGTATTTGGGAAAGTCCTTTGATTCTAGAGGCCAACAAGATGCATGTGTGTGTGTGTGTGTGTGTGTGTGTGTGTGTGTGTGTGTGTGTTGTCACTGTTGTCATTCAAATAGAATTGTTCTTCGGCGGAAAATTGTTCTCTCAGTCATAAGACCTATGATAAGCTCAGTGGCCGATGTTATACCATATTAACACAGACATTGACCAAAGTTTCCCAGGTGAAAAACACCGAGTCTTCTTGCTCTTAAGATGTCTGGGCACTAAGTTTGCTGGGGGAGGGGATACCACTGTACCTTTTGATTCTCTCGGTAGTGAGAAGCCAGAATCAGGACTCAATGATGCGATGCGAAGGCCCGCGACCTTGACCTTCCACCGGAATCTAGAGCAATTTGCCTTTGCCTGCGTTCTCTACGGATTTCGGAGAGAGGGCGACGAGGGGCGGGTAGGGGAGAGACTGGTGGCGATTCTGGAAATGCTCAGGGGAGGGAGGAAGGCAGACCTAATGCAAAAGTGCTAACTGGTGGCAGAGAAAGCCAGTGATTTAATACGTTCAGAGGAGGATTGCCCTCTCGGACAACCTCAACCTGTCACCGCCTTGCCACTCTTCTCGACTGCCTCACCTATTCCACCTCTTGGGGCTAGGGCCCCAGCTTGTGACTTCGAGGAGGGGCAGGAAGAGTAGGCGAGCTGGTGGGAGGGGGGCCTCTGGTGTGCGTTTGGAGACTGCGACTGTAAAGCCCTCAGCCCCAACGTGCGGAAACCACCTTGCTTTTTACCTGTTGAGTGCAAACACGCGTAATTGAGATCCATTTTGAGGCAGCTGCAGGGCTTCTGATTGCAAGTGCAAACAGTCTTTTTATCCGTTGATCCCTGAGTCTCCTTCTCGTTGCTGGTTTCCATCGGCTTTTCCGCGTCTCCATACAGCAAGGCTGAAGAAGCATACATAAGATGGAGCTTCAGTCTGAGACCTGGAGCACGGAGGGACCCTGTTCCGCAGCCCCAGGCCTCTAGCTGTCATCGGGCAAAGGGATTTGAGGATCTGGCCAGTTTTAGGTTAAAAAAAAATGAGTACCGACTACTTAGTTAACATTCTTCCATTCCCTGTCACCAGATTCTGTCACTGAGTCCCCAGGCTTCACACTTACCACAGAGTTTGTTTCCAATGCCTCCGGTGAACTTCTGGGCAACCTGGCACCAGGCTCTTGCTGGAGAAGGGATTTAGGGATAGGAGAGAGAAACAGAGGTTTGGAGGTTTTGATTGCCAAGAAAGTGGGACCGGGCTACAGATAAGTAACTAATCCTTTAAAAAGATTTGCAGCCTTAGGGCTATTCCCATTTAACAAACTTCTACCTAAGATGGAGTCAACGAGACCTTTCCCCACTTTGTCTTAAAGATCGTTTGTCAGTCTAAATAATTGGGCAAAGAATTACCTGCTTCCCTTTCACTTCAACCCTGTCTCGGGAAGATATTCTCCTTGCTAACCCTCCTCTCTCTCAAAGGATCTCTATTCTCTGTTTCATTCATTCACCCAATGCTTCCGCCCCCCCCCCCATGCCGAATCTCTTAATAAATCACCTTTCTATAGCGATTTAAGGTTTTCAAAGAGCATTCCTTAAGCACTTGGAGGTAGGCAAGGTTTGTCCCCATTTTAGAGTAGAGTTACTCAGACACAGAAAGGATGTGTTTTACTCAGGGTCACAGAATTAGGATCAGAGTAGGGGAATCGAAATACAATTTACTGACTTCAAGTCAAGCGTTGCTTCTTTCCCCAGTCCCAGAAGGAGGTGGAGGAGGTAAGTATTCAAAGAGCCGAGACTAAGGTTGGAGAGACACTTGGGTGCTGGGGGCTCCGGTCTCGTTCGGGTGAAAGGAACCCAGAGATTATGAAACCCCTCCTCACGGGTCAGGTGAACGCATAGGTAAAAGGAGAGCTTAGAAGCTTGAGTTCATTTGGGTCAATTGGGCATAAGATAAGGAATGCACCCTGAGAACTTTTCGTGCTGCAGCTGAAAGCAAGCTACCACCACCAACTACCAAAAACAATTCCAACACACACACACACACACACACACACACACACACACACACACACACACACACACACACGAAAACAAACCAAGCCGCTTCCCTCTTATCCCTCCTTTCGAAACCCTTTTTGTTTCCATCTCCCATGTCCCCAGTTTCACAGGTCAAGTGTCTTGGTTTTCCAGCTTCTTACCTGTGCTAGGGTTCTCCGGGTCCCCGGAGCCATCTTCGGACCCGAAGGACCAGAAGCCAGAGCCCGTAGATGCCATCCGCGCTGCGAGGCTGGTACAGGGAAATGAGAGTGCCAACTGCAGGCGAGAAGCTATCCGCTCAGTTCCTGCGTGCTTGTGCGTGAGTCTGAGCGCGTGAGTGTGTGAAGGAGGGAGAGAGCACCCTGAGGAGTCCCGGAGTGGTCGTGTGGGTGAGTGAGTGTGTCACACTCAGCAGCTCTGTATGTGTGTACTAGGTGAACAGCAGCGCCTATAGCAGCAGCTGCGCTCAGCTTGGAACCCACACGGGGGAGGGGCTGTAGAAAATGGGAGGGAGGAAGGGTTAGGGAGAAATGTCTCTTTCCAGCTAAGCAAAAGGGACCCAGGAGGATGGTATGGATGCTCTGATTGAAGGAAAGTGCGACTGGAGGCAAGATAGAAAGTAAGGAGAGAAGAGAGAGAAAGAGAGAGAGAGAGAAAGAGAGAGAGAGAAAGAGAGAGAGAGAGAGAGGGGAAGGGAGATGGAAGTGTGAGGAAAGAAGACAAAATCGTGAGCGTGAGAGACGGATAGTGGTGCGCGCGAACTGGAACAAGAGGGTGAGAAGCTCGGTGGCTGGGGCCCGCAGGAGCAGGAGAGGATGTGCATGCGTGCAAGCGCGTCTCCAGGCGATTGGCCTTTAGCTTGACAGCCTGGAGAGAACTGTCCAGGGTCCTGAAAGAGGTCCTAAGCCCAGTCCTACACACCGCCCCTACTCAGAACTGTCTTAAGCTGGAGTAGCAAGGCAAGAGCTTTAGGATACATGAAAGGCTGCAGAGCGGAGCTTTATTAAATCATTTTCTCCCCGTTCTTTCTCGTTTGAGAACTGACTTTGAGTTACCTAGGGGATAGTCGGAAGAAAAGGGGGAGGAGTAGCTACTGAGGGCCCTGCTCTCTAATCATCCCAGTACTGGGAGTTGAAGGGGTGAGATCCTGGGAGTGGAGGTAGAGGTGAGGGAGGGAGGAGGGGAAGGAGATATGGCCTCAATTCGAGGAGAATAAGACGACGGCGGCCGGGCAACTGCTGATGGACTTTTGGCGAGGAAGCGGCTACATTTTCTAGGGGAGTGGAGGGGCCTGTCAGGGAAAGGGGCATGGGTGGTGCTGATGGACTCATTTCAGCTCCTTAGTAGAGTCTAATGCCAGGTTAGTGAGCCGCTTCAAACCTCAGGGGAGGGCCCTCTCCGCCGCAGCTGACCGCACAGTAGGGGGATGGACTGTGTATGAGAGACAGGAGGCTGAGGTGAGAGATCGAGGTTCTGACCGAGACAATTAAATTCCACGCGGGAGACTGTCACTGTAGAGCCCAGGTCTGAGGAGAAGCAAATGAATATTTCTTATGAGGGGGCGAAAGCACATAGCTCCTAGGCTTGGGGAGATTGGCGTTTCAGGGTCACGCTTTGACCTTGGCCCACAGAAGCGTTGTTGGATTTAAAGGACAGACACTGCTAAGGAATTAAACGCGGCATGAGAGCGTCAAGCATGCCGTGAGAGAAAGAGAATAATTGGAATTCGAGGTGTCTCAAACTCAGATGTATGTCTGTTTTCCAGACCAGAGCTGAAAGGCATTGGCTGCATGACTGCGGCCTACAGCTTTTGTTTTTTATTTGTGGTCATAGGAAAAAGAAATCCTCTCCCCACCAATTTTCAAAGTGGAGTAATATGATCCCTTCACCCAGGGATGGTAGGAGAGTCTTGCTGTTTCTGGTGAAATCGTGTCTCCTCTCTTAATAATGGAAGAACAAAAATCAGATGATTCCCCACTCAGTGGCCTCAGCGATTTCTAGTCTGAACAAAAGGAGGCAGCTTTGTTGATCAAGCCATCCTTGTGAGCACTAACTTAGACATGTAGCTGCCATTTTAGCTAGCTTTCTACAGGATCCACTAGACTCGAGGAGACGAAAAATTCACCGTCTTTAGAGGAAATGGTCCGTCTTTATAAATCTCTATATGTACCTACACCTTTATACGTATGTTCATCGTCTACCTGTCTCTGTGCTCTGGGCACAAAGATTATTTCTTTGGATGAATTTGTGCTCATATTCATTTTTTAGACCTCAATACCCGGGAATTTTACTACCTCTACACCAGGTGACACGTCTGTAGACACTGAAAATGCTTCAAACAGAAAAGCAGCACCCATCCCTTAGTCTTTTGTACGACCCTTTTCCCACCTTTCCGTTTTTTCATCCTCCCCAGTAAAGTGCACATCAGCGCCTATGGGACAAAAAATTCCTGGACTCAAAGTCGAATGGGTTCCGTAGGACTCGGATTTGAGGGACAGAGAGGGGGGCTTATCATCTATCTCTTCTCCCCCGAGATTGACTCGTAGGAGGTGAGGTATAGAGGAAAAGCTTCCATGTCAGAGGATCTGGTTTGCTTGTTGTCCCCTTTCATTACAGTCCAATCTGGGGGAGGCCAGTGAGAAACGTGGCGTGACACATTGGATCGACATTGAAGGGTCACTGGAAGGAGAAAGGAATAGAGTCAGGATGACACACACACGACTGGTAAGGAAGAAAAGAAAATCGTGACTCTTGAGGTGGGAGTGATTTGGATAGGCTGGGGAGGAGGAGGCAGTATCCGAGAGCCCTCTATTCCACCCCCACCTCAATGGCTTCCTAGGCTCATGAACTATAATAGCAATTTTAGGGGTCAAAGACCTTGCCGCTCAGAATTCTGTAAATGAAAGAAGAACAGGTTTGGGGGAAAGGTGTTTCTCTCTAGCAGTATACATCGGATCGAGGACGAAACTTCTTTATTTAAAGCCATATTAAAATGTACTCTCGAGAATGCTCAGCTTCAAGCCATCAACCCAGGAAGTTGCATTGATTTTTTCCCCCTCTGTGACTAAATGGGCAGAAAAGATGCATTTCTACTAAAACAAATTAAAAAAAATAAAGAGCCAAGAAACAGGTGGAAGAAATGGATCAAATCTATATTGCATTTTCAAATTCTAACACCTACATCTCACTCCGTGACAAGGAGAAAAAAAATTTTTTTGAGTTAAGATTCCAATTCCCTTTTGAGGCTAAATTTAGATACAATCAGATCTCCAAACTTTAGACCAGGTTGGGTGTATTAGGGATATTTATACTTTTATTTAGAAACAAACTGGTTTAGAAGCACAAGGGGACCTAATTTGCCTTGCCTTATAGAATTTTTTTCCCCTCGACGGTAATTTTCTTTTTGAAAAATTAACTTCGGAAAATATCTGTTCTCTCTCCCTCGCCGTCTTTGTCTCAAAAGGAGGTTATAATTACAGTAATTAGTTCACAAAGGATCCCAGCCTCGAATTAGAAATACAAGGAGAGAGAAGCCCAGGAAAAAAAACCTTTCTAGCCTTCGTCCTGGATTATCGGCAAGAAAATCTCCTTTTCAAAAGAGGGAGGATGGGAATTTTAAGCCACCAATCTTCTTGACTAATTTATTTCTCAGTGTAGATTAACAAGCAAACCTTTTCCCAATTCCACTTACGTGGGTTGGGGGAGGGGCACAAGACAACTGAATGAGGGCCCCAGTCAGATCTTTCCTGCCCATGCCCACTAATCAACGATCATTTTCTAGGGGGCGTTTCTTGCTCTCCTTTCACCCTAGAAACGGACTGTGCCCAATTGCAGCAGATTGTCTGAAGGGAGTTCGTTGGCAGCCCAGTTTATTAAAGACTGAATGGATTTAGGAAGGAGGGCTGGTCGTGGAGCTGTTTCTTGGATTAAAAATTCAAGTGTTAGTTCTTTTTGAAGGAGACTCAGTCCTGGATGAGGAGAGACAAGTGATACTTAAGAAAAGTCCACCCATGACTTAGATGAAACTGGAGTGGCCACAGTTAACTCTGGTATTGGTTTAATTGGTTAGCTTTGGTTAGATCCCTAGGGGAGAAACTCTAAGGTATGTGTTGGGGGTGTGGTGCACTGAGGTGGTCGGGATTGCAGCTCAAGAAGGGACTAAGCTGCTTAGTTTTTCCTGTCCTGGCCAGTACACTACTCTCCTTTAAAAAAGGGCTCCCAGCTTTGGGGAAAGTGGATTTACAGAATTCAGAAGTTAAAGGGAGTACAGAGCAGCTGCCTCTTCCCGCTCCCCTTTCCAGAGCCCTGGGGAGAGATAAATAAATGCTAGGCTGCCTCTTGACATGTGGTAGCCCTGGTCAGCCCGAGAGATTCCATCTTCCCCTTCTCACAGCAAGAAGCCTGATGGCAAAAATCAAATGCCCCCAACCAAAGGAGATGGTACTTTGACTGCAAGCAACATGTCAAAATCAATCTCAAAATACTCCTGAAAAGCCCTGAGGGGCTTGGGTTTCTTCCTTCATTTTTCAGTCACTGTTACTGAAAGCCCACTAACACAAGGCTGAGGGATAGGGCTATGGTGTAAGACAGACCTAGGAACCACCCCTGGGAACCTTATGTTTTATCAGCCTAAGGAAAGAAAATGCTCCCAAACTCTTTCTGAAGTCCCTTTTCAGGCATTCTTGAGACCTGAGGGAGTGGGAGATGATCCTAGGCCTAGAAGACTTCTTGGGACCTCTCTACATCTACATCGCGATGTCTACTCCCACTATGTCCCCATCTCTTCCAAATCCTCCCTTTTCTCTCCATTCTTCTTTACAATCCTGCATGGAATGTCTAACAGCCTAGCTTCAGTTCTGTTCTCTGTAGGTAGATGTGGAAGGGTGGGAAGCTTGTGGAGAGGTAGCCAGAGGAGCCCAGAGCTACTTATAGATAGCAAAAAGGGTCCCTTGTCACCTTCTGGAATGTGACTTAATGAGCCAATTCAAATCCGAGCTCCTTGCCCCATACTTGCTACCTGGGATTTCAATTCAACGGCTACATTTAATAGCAATTAAAAAAAAAGATGAAAAGAGATTTGGACCTCATAGAATGTTTAAGAACCAAAACTAGAACTAATAGTCTAAATAAGCAGAAGTAGGCTTCCAGAAACCCAAAGTGTCCTTAATCAAAAGGACTGCTTTTCACCAGCTCTCAGTTCCATTTGATCTTCACCTCAGACATAAGGGTAACATGTT